CCACTGATATCATGGGCCTTTAATAGGCCGAAAGCTTAGTACAGGCATCAACGGGCCGAATTACGCGGCAGGCCTTTAACAGGCCCAAAGTCACGTTGGGCTTAACTGTTACCACCTTTAGCATGGGTCGTTAGTGGGCCCGATGTCCCGTTGGACCATATATGGCCCATGGGCAGCACGGGCCATTCCCAGGCCGAAAGTCACACCGGGCAGAAATGGGCCCATGTCTACATCAGGCCTCTAACAGGCCGAGAGTCACTGGACTGTAGTTGGGCCCAAATATTCGGCGAACAATTAACGGGCCAGATCTGGCTTCGGGCCGCAAATGGGCCCAATATTGGGCGAACAATTAACGGGCCAGATCTGGCTTCGGGCCGTAAATGGGCCCAAATATTGGGCGAACAATTAACAGGCCAGATCTGGCTTCGGGCCGTAAATGGGCCTTTATTAAGCAGGCCGTTATTGGGCTGGCCCACTAGTACCTGATTAAGTACTACGGGCCTTTGACTGGGCCGGCCTTTTTAACCTATATGGGCCTCTGTTGGGCCCAGCCACGTGTCGACGTATCATAGGCATGTCTTCTGCAATGGACGGGCGACATCTGGCCCACTGACGAGCTGACAGGTGTTCCCTTCGGCCAATCAGAATTTTACACGTGGAAATTTCCCATTGGTTCGGGCTGTTAACGGGTTATCGGATCCAAAATCCGACCCGATAGCTTAACGGCGTTCCGTTACGGTGGATGCCACGTGTCGGTCACCCTTGACGAAAGCACTTCTATGACGCGCGATTTATCGTCATGGAAGTAGACACTTCCGTGATTATAATTTTGGTAATGTCATTGAACACTTCTACGACAGCACAGGTATGACTATCTTGATTCTGTCATAAAATCGTCATGGATGTACATGCATGACAAAAAACGTGACCTACTGTGACAAACACGTATCATCACGGAAGTGTGTTTTGTTTGTAGTGGTGAGACCAATCATACCAAACCGGTGGGATCGAAGTGCGATGGCTAGGGAAAGAACTCATTCCGAAAATTCCAATTGGTTCATCTTGATGATTCCGAAGTGAAACAACTTCATTACAAAAACTTGGTCAGACCATCTTGGTGAGACCGAGATCCATTTCGGTTGCACCAAAGTATTAGTGTTTGGCATGTGATAGTGCATATGGTAATCTCGCTGGTCCGGATAGTAGTGTTTCGGTGGGACCAACATCAACTTTAGGGTTTTGGATAGGATGGAAGTGGAGAATTATTTGAGGGTTTTGAGCAATATCATTAAGCACTTGAGCAATTGAGTCATGACCAAAACCTCATCCCCTTTTAATAGTATTGGCTTTTCCTATGGACTCAATGTGATCTTGGATCACTTAACCAAAAATGTAGATCCTTTAAGCTTTACCAAACTTTGTCCTCTGTATGTTGAGGGGTACACTTCCACTAGTCTTCTTCTCTGAAATATATTATCAATGTGCATTACATCAATGCCATATATGTTGTGATTAATTACCAAAACCAACCGGGGATTAGTTGCACTTTCATCATGTGATGTTCCCTTTGCTTTGTGATACTTCACAAAACCCAGGATGCACCGATATCCTCCTGAGTCATCACATGCTCACTATACTGATATCCTCGTTGCCGGTTTTGTTCTTCTTTCTCATTGTCATGTTCTAGCATCGCCTTGACGTAATCACCTGTGTCTAGCTAGACGATGATGGATGTCGTCACACTGAGAGGACCCTAAGAATATCTCTCCACTGTCGGAGGAGCAAATCCCACTCTCGAGCTATCTAGTCACTTGTCAAACTTTCCGATGAACCTGTAAGTTGTCGTTATGACCATCATGTTACAGGTGACGTTTGAGCAACCCCAAAGCCCATCGTACGGTAAGAGGTGACTACGATACTCTCATGGTTTAAGGAGCAAAATCACATGTTAACACTCCGTGTTATTACAATTGATTACAAACTATATTATCTCAATTCATAACAAACAAGTTTGGATCGATTCAATATGACCGTTCTTCCAACGTCATAATCTCCATGTTGCTTTAGGACTATCGTTACAGTTAACGATATCCTAAGATCCAGAAAACATGATCACCAACAACACTTGAGCTAGTCTTAGAGGCGAGACTAGGAACCTTTAGTTTATCCGTTTATCATTTCACACATGCATATGAGTTTTCCATTGAATCGCATATTCCAGGATCGTAACAGTTACAGCATGAGATATAAACAATTAATTATGAATATTGAAATATAATAATACAATATTATTGCCTCTAGGGCATATTTCCAACAGGCATGGTCCTCAGGGATAGCTTGGGCACTATCATCCTTTTATCTTGTAGGGACCTCTTCTCGTGCAGCTATGTTTTAGAGGCCGAGTTGTGCGCTTGCATCGAAGGAATGTCCATTGCCACTAAAGAACTAGTCTTTCTATTTGTTTGGAGACGGAATCACTATCAGCGGTGAACATGGTAAATGAGAAGGGCACTAACAAATCATCATGTGCATCCTTAGTTGGTGAGATCAAGAACTTGATGTCTCTCCGTACCACTTTGTATTACTCACATGCATCAATCGTAGCCAGGATTGTGTGAGTGATTATTTGGCTAGTTTTGCTAGAACTGAAAGTGGAACTATTGTTTAGTTGGGCTCCGGACCACCAAAGGTAGCTGATCTATCTAATAAAGATTGTAGTATGGATGCTATGAGTAATACAAGTTTTAACCGCAAAAAAAGCAGTCGGCAGACAAACACTACAACTGACAACATCAAACATCCATATAAATGCACATAGCGCGCTTAAACCTGCTAGAACCCACCACGGACAAAAAGAATATAACTTCTCAGGGAAGGTGGGAGTTCAGCAAGAGAACACTGCCTACTTAGTACAAGACATGGCTTCACGAGTTGTGAGATTGAGTTTATCATCGTCATCGGATGGGATCATGCTTCCTGAGGTGATAATTTTACATATGCCACTGGCACTATGTGTGCTTCAAGCACGAGTTGTTTTTGGCTATTTAATTAAGACTCTAAAATAAATTACAACAATGTAGAAATTAGGCATTGATTGTAGTGGTAATTTTATGCGTGCCATCTTCACGAAATGTTCTTTTGAACATGAATTGTTTAGGGCTCTTTGATTTGCATGACCCCAAACAAACCAGAGTAATGTAGAAACTCGTTGTGGTACAATGAATTTTACCAAACTTGAAGTCAGCCATCAATATCTCTCTCTTCTGCATCTTTTTCTGGTGAAAAAACCCGCAAAAGATCAAAGTTAAACTAGCTAGACTAATCTCATCGCTTTTGAAGAGCCCCTTGAATTCATAGGTCGGAAATCTAGTTGAACATACTATTGTCGAGAACATGCCCCTTGTAATATAGAACCGCTATCCATCGCTCAACTATCACAGAAGAGGTTTATGAGCACAAAGGAACAAACACGGGGCTAGCATTGTACCGTCATGACAGGCCAAATCAAAGCACCGCATGCCAAAGCTCTTGATTTAGAGTGGACGATCGGTGGGACTGAAGCATCATAGGCTCGCAGCCACAACGCCATGACGCTTACACCGGGCGCGAAGATAGAGTGTAGGACTTTTTAATTTGCACACGCAAGGTCACCATCAACAACACACAATCCCAACATTAAAGAAAATTAAACCGTGCAACAGAAATAGATCAGGGTTCTTGTGTTGTCGAGATCGGCCATTGAAGACGAGGGAAGCCGATGGAAAACTTCAATGAGATCAGACAGAATGGAGATGCCTTCCTTACCAACTAGATGTGCAAGTATACCCGGGGAAAGAGTCAATCCTAAAAATCAAATACATTCTATCGAAAGGCATAAAAATAGTCATCAGATTTTTTTTAGAAAGCTTCAAATTATTTCAAAAAGAAAAGTGACCCTCGGTCTGAAAATTCCTGCCATTTCGAATATGCCTGAATATTGCGTTGTTTATGAGGAAGAGGAAAAGGCATTGGCCACAAATCCGGGAAGTGAATGATTGCTTGAAAGCATTTTTCCCTTCTTTTTTTTTTTTGAGAATCAACTTGAAAGGGGTAGGTGTGCCATGAGACGAGGAAAGCGATGTTGGACTTTTTTTTTTGAGCTGAAAGCGATGTTGGATTTGGTAGTGCCGTGCGCGCAGCCATCAGCGGGGGGAGATAAAGAACGGCTTGGCCAGAGGAGACTTCCGCTTCAGTTATCCTTTTTTTCTTCAGCAGAAGAAATGGAATTGAGAACAAACACAAAACACACGTGTGGTTTTCCAGTCCAACTAGTACTGCTCACTTAACAAGACTAACGTATTGGATGACAGCATAGCCGGCTGTCAATGGGATGCACGGAACGAACTCTCTGAAAGAAACAAACGAGTCGGCACGTCTTCAACCCATGGGCATATATACCGGGTTCACCGACGCACTTCCCACAGCCACACACACTATTACCTCCATCCCAAAAAGCTTGTCTTATTTATCTAGAGATACAAAATAATTTAACACTAAAACATGTCTAGATATATCCGTATCTAGATAAATCTAAGACAAACTTTTTGGACGGAGGAAGTAATGAGGAGTATAACTTTAACCTGAACATGCTCCCAAACACTGAATTATTTCCAGGAAATCAGGCCCCTTCCATCATCACACGAGATGGATTTATTCCGAATACAAGCCGTTCATCAGGGAAAGATGAAAAGGGAGTCGGTACAAACAGGGGTTTGTTCCAGCTCCCTGGAGATGCGAGAAAAATCAAAAGCTGTAAAAGCTCCCCACAACTGAAAAAAGAAAGACGGCAAGCCACAACACAGTGTTCCGAGCTCAAAATTATTCGCAGCCGCAAGACCAGAAATTAGTCTTCCCTCGTCAGGTGGCTTGTAGAATTGAGGACGGGATTTTGTATGGGGATACAATCTGAAGACCCTGTCCACCTTGTCCAGCGTCCACCGAAGTTATATATGATATCAGTATCAATATAACAACTCCTCGAACACAGGGTCCACGCTGCGCTGCCACTTCGTCTCGTATAGATTCAGAAGCTTCTCGGCAGGTGTCACTCCTGCAAAAGAGTAGGTCGAGAATTATCATCTGGAGAAGGCGCAGTTCACAGCCGACCGTGGCAAGCTAGTATTTATCTTGATCAAGTGAATGAAGTGTTCTGAAAGCGTCACCTGTTCTAACAACTTCGTCGACCTCTCTCAGGAAACCAACCTCCTTGTATCCTCTTCTTTCTAATCCATTCTGCACCACCACAACAGGATTGTTATCACCAGCAGTATGTTTGTGGGCTTAGGGACAAGGATTAGTAGCCTAAAGCTACTTACCTTAGCTAACTGGAGAACATCTTCAGCTAAATCTCTTACATACCCATCCCGGAATGGTGTCTTCAAACCAGTTACTGGGACCTGATCAAATAAAACACAAAATCACTCACAATTCAAGTCGAAATTTATTCCTATCAAATCTGCCATTACAAATTCTAGTCTTCTGATTGGTGTTTCCTAACGACAACATTTCTACCACTACTAAGGACAAAGAGCAGAAATATCTTGAGATACCTTCCGTCTCAACATCTCTCTTTCTTCCTTTGTCCAGTCAGCAGTCATGTCAATAATGCTCTGTAGTGATTCGTCGTCATACAACAACCCAACCTGCAGAGAAGGACAAATCAGATGCAAAGCTGATTCTGAGTTTTGCGTCGACGTGGAAGTTACTCATTCCATTTCAAAATATAAGGCGTATTTTGACCATAATCTCATATAATATTTAGTTGTGGTTATAGGATCAGTAATAAGATGTGCTTTTGAATATGATGGATCCAATCATGTGATTTATTGTATGTAACATAAACCACATATCATTCAAACTAATTGTTGGTCAAAGCACGAATTTGGACTGCCAAATTTGCCTTGTAATTTGAAGGAGGGAGTACTAATTAGTACAGTAGCAATGAACATACTGCCCATGTCTGTGCTGTAAATGAGACGGTGTAGATATACAAAACAAATGGAGGAAGAGTCAGCAAACAAACCCAAAATGCAGGCAAAGCACACAATCTCCTCCAAGGTCCACCATCAGCACCTCTCATCTCCATGTATCTCTTCAACCTAACCTGCAAGGAGAATAAAAAAGAGCAACTGATTGTTGAACTGAAATAAAACCAATTAATATGTCACCATGCTAACCAAATCAAAGGTAAACCTCAGGAAAAATTGTTGTTAGATGGTTCTCCCAATCGTTCAAAGTGGGCAACTCCCCTGGAACCTGTGGGAGCTTTCCTGCCATAAAATCCTGCAAAATACACACAAGCCAAATAAGAGTTCTATAAATTTCCAACATTTAAAGTCATGTAGCCAAAAGCTTCAAAATAAGATACTCCCTCCGATCCAAAAAAAGTGTCGCAACTTTGAACTAAGGTTAGTTCCAAGCTGCGACACTTATTTTGGATATGAGGGAGTAACATTTACAAAGTTTACAGCATATAACTGCAGAAGTACTAAGATATTAGAGACAAGAGACCCGAAATGACATTCCAGTACAGTCAATGTAAGTCTTGTTCCGGTATACAAAATACATTGGGACGTCCAATGCATAGTCCACATATTGCTCAAATCTGCAACCGAGAACAAATTATAATCAGAACTCATTTAAACTGAAAGCCTCATTTTATGTAGGAATCGCTGTTGACCAAAATGACGCCAGCAATCAAATAGCTGGCATTCTGGATGGCGGAGAAGTTTGTATTAATGCATACCCGAATGAGTCATCAAAAACAAAAGGAAGCATCCCCGAGCGGTTGTTATCAGTATCAGTCCAGATATGGCTGCAGATGATTGATGATAATGATGTTAGCAGCTCCATACAACAAAAAAGCACATTAAGTTCTGAAAGCAATGAAGTAAACACCTTCTTAAACTGAGAAACCCATTTGGTTTCCCTTCTTTGAAGGGAGAATTTGCGAATATTGCTGTAGCGATCTGTTAAACGAACAAGTCAGGTTAGTGCAAGAGCAGCAAAGTAAATTATCAGGAAAAATGGAAGATAATACAGATACCCACAGGCTGCAATGCAAGGCTAGCACGGAATTTTCTTATCATATCTTGCTCTGAACTGAAATCAAGATTAACCTGCATGCCAGAATAGTGAACTCCTAATCGAAATTGTGTAGTTAACAAATGAATATTGTATACTAGTCTGTTTGACATCAAATGAACTAAAGGGCAGCGAGTTGGCAAAACAGCCCGTGAACACAAAACAAAAAATGACAGTTACCTGTACAGTGCACGTGCGGAACATCATATCAAGGCCAAGAGTACCAACTTTAGGCATGTAATTCCTCATAATTTCATATCTTCCCTACAAAGTAACAAATTGTACGATCAGACTTTACAGGAACCAGTAACAGTATAATTATGTTGCGTACGGCAAATGTATGCATAAATTGCAAGTGAGGTTATGCATGAAAGACTACAGTGTGGTTTATCATCATTTTGTGCTAACTGCCAAGTGTTCGATACAGTTGAAGTGGAGGATTTCACTTAATGGTGTACCAAGCAAGAATAGGTGCATCAAAAGCCAGCATTTCGATAAGCCACGTGGAACTATGTTGTACTAATGCTGCAAACCATAAGTATGTTCTTGGATTTGCAACTTCATTTCTCGGAAATTAACTAGACTGGGATATAAATAAAAAAGTAAAAAAGGCCTTTTAACAGTCTAGCAACAGCACAAACTTCAAAACCTACATTTCTGAGGTTTAAGGACAGAATTACCTTGGGCATTATTGGTATATCAGCCAGGGCCCATTTTGGCTGAAAACCCATTCCAAGAAATCCTACTCCCAATTCCTCTCCAACTGCTTTGACCTACAAAACCGGCAGAAGTTAAAATCATCGCATAGAACAGTATAGGCCCTTTCCACAAAAAATACATGCATCATAGTACAACTAACTTTCAGCAAGTAAAACCTCGAAGATGACTGTGCAAACAGAACCATGAAACAGTTCAATTTGTTCTTCATGAACCCAGCCAGTCTGATGGAAACTAACTCCATGCCCAGCAAGGTTTGGAGGTCTTACAGATGCATGCATAAGATGGTACAAATTCCCAGAAGAAACTTGGAGATATTGGTGGTTGTTTAGTTCTCAAATAATTGACACGGTTGGTTGGGATGCAAATATACATTTGGTGGCATGGACTTTGTACAATATTTGGGATATGAAATAGGATAATCTACAATTTTGGGATATGAAATAGGATAATCTAATTAAAAAGAATTTTCTGGTGGAAACTAAATATGACATTATGATGTCACAGGTGAAAATCCCACAATGTTACATTTCATAAATTTCTGTAAAAGGTGAATACTTATACATGTAACAGTTTGCTCACTAATAGATATTTACCTGATAAAGATGTGAATTGACCTCCGCACAAGTTTGATGTAATGTTTCGAGGGGAGCGCCACTAAGTTCAAACTGGCCACCAGGTTCTAGTGAAATGTTTTGCTTTCCCTGCATCCATATAAATAAGTTGTCACAGAATTCCCTATTGATTCAGTGAAAACCATATATATCTATTTCTTTCTAGGCATAGTACCTGCTTGAGACCAATAACATGGTTTTCTTCCATTATCTTGTCCCATTCAAATCTCTCAGACAGCCCATTGAGTATAGCACTGATCTGATCGTACGTTATAGGGCGCAATGTTTCGACATCAAAACCAAACTTTTCATGTTCTGTGCCAATTCTGCATAACAAGAAATTTACTCACGGAATGGACCAAATAACTAACCGAAATACTCAGTAGGAATTATACAGGAATAGAACTTCAAGAAAAACAAAAATATATTGTCAAATCTGAAATAATTTGAACAGAGGCACCATAACAATCTTCATCTCCAATAAATTATACTGATTGAAAAAAATGAGCACACTCATTACATTAACAAGATGTATCTATATCTATACCTACTAATAAAGGGAGGCGATATTCTTGGTTTAGTTTCGCTTTATTTTGTCCTGTTTTGAGTACTTTTATTACGTACACTATTTTTGGGTTTTGTCCGTTAAACGAACATGTGTGCAAGCGAAAGGAAACCGGGACATACGTGTAAAGGAAACGAAAAAATACAAGCAACGGGAGGGACTCGAACTAGAGCCCTCGAGCTAAAAACTAGCTCCAGTAACCAACCAATCTAGCTTGACTTACGTCAAAAGTAGCAAGTTCGGCTTATTTATACACTATTTGTCAGAGTTGGCACCAGCCCTCGCACGACCAGCGAACTAGAGGCCAAAAATGATATCGTTCGCGTCGGGTGCACCTCACCCCCGTGTGGGCCTCAGCCCATCAATGGCAATAAAAATAACGGCTTGTTTGAGGGATCAAAAAATAGATTCAGTTTTCTAATAAAATAGTACCGCCTTGATTTCTTATACCCCACCTTATCAATTTATATACGTTTGTGATTTGAAATCGGTAAGCCACCATGACAATCAATAAGCGGGTAATAGTGGGTCTTGTCTCGTCACAGATGCGAGCAGAAGCAAATTAATTGCTTTGCATGGGGCCAATAGGTGTGAGAGAGAACCGACTTAATGATCAAGATAACGAAGAATGGGGAATTAAAGAGAACCCAGGTAAACATAAAGATAATGAGGACACGACGCCCCAATGCCGCAAGACAAGTAGGTATAAAACTTGTGATCTCTCTTAAAAAAGATACCACGATCTCCAATCTCTCTTAAAAAAGATACCACGATCTCCGGATGAAGATGAACCAGCAGAACCTCCTCGCATACGAGAACGACGATGACTCATCGAGGCGCTACGGCAGCCCCCGGTCTCACCAAAGGCGATGTTAGGGCTGGTTGCATGATTAATTAATGCCTGATTGGTACAAATTTCTTCTCTAGACCATGGTGTGCCTTTGTTTTGGTGGGTGTGACAACTAAAGTTTTCTTCATAGCTAGCCACAAAGCGTTATGCTTGTACATATATTTTTTTACTAAATTTAAGTACATGTTCTCTCCCGTTGCAACGCACAGGCATTTGTGCTAGTTAAGTATAGCATATCTAAGATTAGAGACTTTTTGTGTCATTTAGGACAATCATTTGTAAGCTTACTTTTCCCACATATAGCATATTAACAAGTACCATATCAAGCTTTTGTTGCTCTATGTATAAATTGCAATTTTACTACTTCCAGCATTATATGAGTGCACGAGCTGCGCCATTCGCCAACAAGTTTAACACAATGTATCCCCAATTCAGTTCCTAGTCTAGTATAACTATGCTAACCAGTACCATGTGACCCCTTCGTTGAACAAGGGCAGAGCTTCATTTGCTAACTAGGCAAAACAACGGTCACTTCGACGTATCCGCCCGCTTATTCCTACAAGCGCAAACTACTAGCAAGCATCACACAGTCCGTCACTGCAAGGCACTGATTCATGTGAGAAAATTCCACCACTCTAGGGGCGACTGAACAGTGGATACAAAATGCCCAATTGCAGAGCTAAACAGTAAGCTGGGCAGTAAGGATCGGCCGTTCCAGCCATAGAACTACGTTCCGCTTCCAACAGTAAGTAGCAAGTAGGGAAGTAGCACCATATGTGGAAGCTTCTCACCTCCAGTCCTCCTTGGGCTTGCAGCCGGACGCGAGGTAGGCGACGAGGTCCTCCTTGGTGAGCGGCTCCGTCAGCTTGGCCGCCTCCTCCGTGGGGGGGCTGGCCGCCACGGCCCCGCCGCGCCGCCTCCCCCTCCGCCCCGCCGCGGGGAGCCCGACCACCGCGAACCCCTGCCGCCCCTTCCTCCCGCCCGCCGCGCCGCAGTCCGGCTGGACCACCCGCGCCACCGCCAGGCGCGACGCGACCGCCATCACGCCCAACCCGCCGAACAAAAACCTGAGGCACGAAAAATTCCGCAAAACCAACAAAAGTTCAGCGCGAATTGCGGAATCCGACACGATGTCGCCATCGAACCCTCGCCCAACCCACCTCGCCGCGCCCACGTAGCGAGAACCGGTCTGATTCTGTCTATTTGCTGGTGAGATTCGCCGCCGAGAGGAGACGGAGACGGGGACGCGCGCGCCGCCGTCCGCCGCTGCTGCTTCAGAGTCCGGAACGGAGGGGAGTGTGGGGGGTGGGATGGGGGCGGCGTCGGCGCGGTTATAAAGCGGTGGGGGCGGGGCCCGCGCGTCAGCGGCCGCATCAGCAGCGACGACGCCTTGAAGTGCGCGATGCTGCTGCTGCTGCCGCTGCGCGCGTCATCCAATCCGCTCCGCCCTCCGCGGGTGCAGCCGGTGAGTGAGCTGGGGGCCGGGGCTGCGGGGTGATTTGGACAGCTGGTGATTTACTAATCCTTCCCCCTCTTTCCTTTTTAATCTTTCCTCGGTGGTGGGGGCGCTGGCCTAATGATTACGGCTTGTTAATTGCTGGAATTAAGCTTCGCCGATGGTTCTCGTAGATCACCACCGGCTCATGACGTCGGCGATGAGGTGGGGCGCTCGGTGCCACGGCGGCGCCAGGATTTTTCATGCATGGCGATGGTGTTCTGCACGCTAGTTCGTCCTGGTGCCTCAGCTCTCAAAGCGACATCCAGAGCACGCGTCTCACCCTCGGGCTGCCGTTCAAGACAAGATGAAAACGGAACAAAAATGTCGAGAGAATATATCAGGTGCTACGATGTCCTGGTAGTACATTTGGATGATCATGGATCGAAATGAACCTTGCCCGTCTTCAAGGGCAGGTTCGCCCTGCATGATCGTGGCTTTCCCGACTGTACCGTCTGCGAGCATCAGTGCACGTGCACTTATACTCTCTTTCTTTTTTCGGGAACACGTGCACTTATATTACTACTAGTATTTTCTTTTTAACTTTGGATGACTTTACTCAATTATTTTTTATCTTTTTTAGCGGGGACTTTACTCAATTATAACAAGGTCTTTTTACAATGGTATGAACAAGGAAGTCGGGAGCTGACCATGGGAGAACTTCATAGCTTTGTTCATAAAGCAAATGTCAAGCTAGCTCATGCACGGCGCCATTCACTTCACGACCACAATGCTCGATCATCGCCCTGCTGAAGAAACTCAACAACTCTCAGCAATCATCAGCTATCACTGCTCCCCAGAGCTCTATATTTGGAAGGATTCATCACAACCTAAACTATTTTCTTAGTCACTTTATACCATCATGTATGGACGCCCAAATCATAAAGCTTGGTCGAACTCTACTTCTCCCTCGATGATCTTTGATGCTGAAAAAACGCTTTTGATAATTTGCAGTTCATTTTCTATTTTGTCAACTCTTATCGAGCACATATCACCAAACCCTTAATTTTAGGGCTTTTGTGCCACAAAATCCCTAACGTGGAGAGGCGTAGAAGGAGTAGGCATGGCGGTGGGGCAACATCGATATGGTTATTAAGTGGTGGTTGCAGGCCCGAGTGCCAATGCCACGTACGAAAGAATGACGACATCACAGTTCCGCCAGTTACCGACGTCTAGAATGATGGCATTACAGTTGCGTCAGTTACCGATGTCTAGGATGACGACATCACAGTTGCGTCAGTTACCGACGTCTAGAATGACGACATCATAGTTCCGCCAGTTACCGACGTCTAGAATGACGACATCACAGTTGGGTCAGTTACCGACATCTAAAATGATGACATCATAGTTCCGTCAGTTACCGACGTCTATAATGACGACATCACAGTTGCGTCAGTATCGACGTCTTGGAGTGTGTTGTGTTTTCTGTCAATGTTGTTCCTGTCATTAAATCCGCTTCACCACCGCAGTTGTCGGGGAGGAGAGAGGGTGTACCATGATCTGACTCATGATAATATTTTTAAAAGGTTTATTACATGTATTTCCTTCTTTTTCCTTTTTTAATTATCCTTTATGAGTAAGTGTGGTTAGTGTCACTAATGACTATGTCTTGTTAATTGCAAAAAATCAAGCCACTTCGATAGCTATGTACACCCACAATATGTCATGACGTGCGCAATGAGGTCGCGAAACCACCAGAGCTTGGGTGACGTATTATGGAAAGTTTACTTTCTGCCACAGAAACAAAGAAAAATTGTAGGTTTTGGAGACTTCGAGGTTTCCTGAAAACGACATATAGAATCGCATGTTTTCAAAGAAAAAGGCAGTTTTTCTTTCCTCAGGATGACGTTATTTCGGAGCTCCATTGCACAGCTACGTGAAGGCGAAGAGAGAGGAAAAAAAAGCAACAAAACCAGAATAAAAAGGAGAAACAAAGTAGATTTTGCAGCAGACGCAGCGGTTGGAGAGAAGCACATTGGCATGACCAAGTATGGGAGTGAACCCACCCCAATTTCCACGGGCAGGTTCAGTCACTGGTGGTGCCTGGTTGATCGGTCCTTTGGTACCGTACTACCAGAGCATCGAAGCATGTGGCTTATGGTACTTGTTTAATTAGCATCTTCCCTCTGTTTCTTTCTCCTTCTCGCTGGATGGTCTACGTGCAAAAACAGTTGTACTCCAGTCCAGGGACGATGGGAACGTATCCGGTGCACAAACACTTGTGAGGCTAGCGGTGCACCGGATGCCGTACATTATTTTAAAAAAATTTAAAAAATCAAGCACATTGACATAACATTAATGAATGTCGTCACAAAATTTCGTATCAAAATTTGGAATATCTTTTAAGATACAAAAATGACAAAGTTGACAACAGTGTGGTAATGGGCCAAATCTAAAGCCCAACTTATGTTATGTATTATTTGGTACCGAATTTGTCATTTTTGTTTTAGGAACTGTGTTTCAAATTTTGACTTGAAATTTTGTGACAATCTACATTAATGTTGTGTGAATGTGCTACTTTTTTCCGAATTTTTCAAACATTTAAAATGTGCGCTTGAGCTCGGTGCACCGGTAGCACCACAAGCACCAGTGTACTAGATATTCTCCTCAGGGACAATAGCCTTGCCACGTGCGAAGACTGCCCGGCGTAATTGCGGGGTTCACAAATCCAAAAACACGCCAATGAGCCCATTAGAAGTAATCGTACTCCTCACATTCTGGCCCACGGGCCAAACATGTGGGTGCTCCCATTTAGCGGTGAGGCGCTGGCAAACGGAAGCTTTTTTCAAACAAAGCTAAGCTTTATTGACGATAATCCACATAAAGTGGGATACATTTCGGATTATGAGGGGTTGGCCAACCAAACGTGGCGCCCTGGACCAAGCGTAAGTGAATTCTTAGCTAGACTATGAGCCTCACATCAACGGTGCGACTTTCAAAAATAAAATTACAACTAAAACTAGAAGCTCGAAGTTTGATTTCTGTAATCACCTAACCATAGGGCCCTGGCTACCTTTTTTTATGTTACTGACCACTTGCGTGCAATCAGATGAGATAATGAAGTTGCTTAGGAGGAGATCTTTTGGCAACACAAGGCCCTCTCTGCACGCGACTGCTTCCAATGTGGTTGGGTCCACTAGTCTCGATATTACCAAAGTTGAGCTACCCAAGTAATTGTCGGCATCGTCCCGACAAACTGCATCAGTAGATCCACCGAAATCTCGG